AGCTGGAGCCAGGAGGGGCTGGGAAAGGCGATCTGGGAAATCTGAGTGGAGCGTGGACTCAATGGCTCCACTCCGGGTAAGCCTGGGCTGCAAGTGAGGGGCAGCTGCCAGTCTGGGAATGCTGGACAGCTCAGCACAACAGGACCCCTCGCATAGGGGTAGAGGGTGATGATGTGTAGCAACCACAGGTATCTCACAAGTCAGTCAGCCTGGCCAGACAGGAAGCTGGGGAAGCCAGTAGGGGCCAGGCACTCACCGTGGGGACAGTGACAGAAGGGGACCCACATAGTGGGATGGCAGAGGAGGCTTGTGTGTGGAGAGAGGAAGGAGGGCAGATCCTGACTTCCTCCTTACATTGTGTAACTAGCACCTTGTAAACACTTAACACCAATTAAGAACATTTTAAATGTGACTTGAATAATTGCACTTAACCACCCAAACAACTCTAGGAGGTAAATGTGGAAATGTTAAATGCTATTTCCTCATTTTACAGATGAAGAAACCAAGGCTCAGTGCAGCATCATACAGTGCTGGAGGTAGGACTAAGAGGCAGAATCCAGGCTTGGAGCTACTGTCCGCCTGCCCCCTCCCAACCTCAGAAAGAGCCCCTGGCCAGGGCTCCAGGCTAAGCTGGGGTTGTGTTTGTTGGTCCACACTCCCCATCATGGAGTGTGATGGACGGCCTCAGCACCTTCCCGCTTTCCCTGTCCCCAGAGCCCAGAGTAGTCCAAGATAGTCCCTTGCCCAGCAAGGCTCCCAGGCCCTCCCTTCTCCTAGACTGCAGAGAGCAGGGGCTGGGTTGGTCGGAAGGAACCCAGGACATCTCAGCAAGAGGCTTGGTTTCCTTTCCATTATGGGCAGTGGGCCGCTGCCGACAGGCAAGTGACAGGGCCCATTTGTTGCTGTTGGCATCCCGAGGCCCCAAATTACGATGACTAATTCCCACCGCTGTAGGCAGCTCTGGGCTGTCTGCAGCAACGTGCTCCCTGGGGTGGAAATCCCACAGGCAGCACACCGACATCCAGCCTCCATTCCAACTCAAGTCTCCTGACTCCCTGAGGGCCTGGGAGTTGGGAGAGATGGGGAAGGAGTTTTCAGCCAATGAAAGGACCCTTTCAATCAAATCCAGGATAACCAGTCCCAAGGAGACCACTGCCTTCACCAACATGAAGTATAACCATCTAACAACCACCTGCATGAGGTAGTGATCCCCCCAACACCAAGGGTATACGAGCAGACCAGATGGCCTCTTGTCCTGGTATGTGGGCAGAGGAAGCTCTGGATGACTTTTCTTGGGTCTTTCAAGTCTAATACAGTGATTCCACTGCTCCTTACGACAGAGAACAAGCCCATCCTCCCTTACCTTTCGCTTACAGCCCAACTACTGAGAAAGTCCAAGGTCAAACGCTTACCAATATGCAGTTTAACACATCATCCTATGGGCGACCATTCAGGCACTGTTTAAACAGAGGCCTGCTGTAAAGGATTTGGCTTCTTTCCCAGCCTTCCTATCCTGATGGAACAAGGCTCCTGGCCCCTACTCTGGCCTTCCAGTAGAGGACATAGGAGAGAGCCGGTCGATAAATATTTGCTGAACAAATGCAGGCAAAGGAAGGTTTCTGAGGCAAGAGCAGGCTGTCTGATGATCCTGGGTTGTGTCCCAACTTTTTAGCCCAGGCAGGGGGAGCTTCTGCAGCCAGTGGAACCTCCAAATGGCATTACTCATCTGAACACACAAAACACATTTCAGACTCCCCAGCTGAGGCCTAGGGGTGCACAGGGTGAGCCAGACAGGGACATGGGAGAAGGGAATGGAAGAGCAGGGACACCTCCCATCCCACTCTTATGTGGGGCTTTTGACAGCTGAGCCCCAGGCAAGAATGACATTCGGCCTCCTGGTAATTAGCAGGAGGCCCTGATCAATAAGTTATTTTTTGCTGTCAGTAATTAATAATTACAGCTTAGCCATACCATGTAATTAAACTTTCATCCCGCTCCCTCCCGTGCTGTCTGGCTTTTATTGTGGTTGGCTCCCTGAGCTAGGGCTTTCCCCCTCCAGAGCCCTCCAGGAGTCTCTGGAGCTGAAGCCTTCAGGCTTTTGACAGGGTTTCCTCCTGGTTCACGTAGCGCCACACCTCCTTGTTGTTTTCCTCATACACGGTTCTCTAGAAAGAACCTTTTGACCATGGCCCTAGTGGCCCTGCCCTCCTTCCAGCCTCTTGGGCACGCCAGGATGACCTTCTGCAGCAATCAGGATTATAAGCATGGTGTACCCGGTGAAATGTGGTCAGCAGGGACAGCAGACCTTTGCAGCCCTATGCCTAAAGGACGCAGTGAATCTGCTCTCTGGGAGCTCAGAGGTTAAGGGCCACTCTGAGACACACTGAGGTCCTCAGGAAAGGAAGTTGAGAAAGCTCTGGGAATGCAAGTCCTTATTAGTGGGTGGTACAGCACCCCTGGGGTCCCTGGCTTAGTGTCAGACCAATTATAATAACAATGCTAACGGATAGGAAACACCTCTTGTATGGGGAGCCCTGGCTGGCACCTCCCCCTGGAATGTCTCCACCCTCCTGCGAAGTCTGTAACAGGACCACCACTATTCTAATCTCTGGGTGGGGATGAGGGATGTGTGGATGAGGAAGCCAAGGCTCTGAGCAGCTGAGAGCCTTTCAAAAACCTCTCTGCAGTTAGGCTCCAAAGCCAGATCACAACAGCCTGTTCTCTCCGCTGCCAAAGCTCTTTCTACAATATCACTGAACTTCACTGGGGAAATGAGTCTGAACCATGTGACAACAGATTGTGGGGAATTTAAATGGTTCAATTTTATCTTTCAGGCTAACCAGGTGAGGATGGCCTCAGACTGGAAGAAGCTCACTTTCTCAACCCAAAGCAGATAACCCTTGTGCCCCAAGCCCAACCCTCCACATAAATCCAGCTGTGCCCCCAAGCCTGGGCCCAGAGATCACATTCCCACAATCCTGTGCAGGGTTCGCCGCCCAGAAGACAAATGGAAGGAGGCAGCCGAAGCTGGCAGACAAACATTCTTGGAGCCAGAGAGCACAAATGAGCAGCAGGGGCCCTGGGCAGCCTGACACTCAAAAAGGCAGCAAACAGGAGAAGCCAAGGAGAGTCAATCAATCAGCAACCTTCCCTGCTCCCGACAAAAGCTCCCGACAGGTGCAGCCCCTCCTGAGCAAGAAGGGCAGGGGCAGTAGGCAGCACAGCCTGGGCTTAACTTCAGCAAGACAGGTGGGACCTTGGCCTCAGATGGATGGGGAAGGGGTGGAGGAAAGGAAGGCAGGAAAGAACATGAAGACCTGAAAGAAGGACCACCAGTTGCCTTGGGGACTCCTTAAGGGCCAGGTAAGCCAGGTCTTGGGGGGGAGTTAGTGTAGTCACGACGCCAGAAGGATCCAGATAGGCTGACAAGTCTCACTGTCGTGCCTGTCTCCTGGCTTTTGGGTAGTAACATCATGAGAATCTCAGAATAAACCCAGAAGGTGCCCAGAATGAACGATAGCTCATTCCTATTCTGCCCGTGTCATGTCCTCCTGGGACCTCCCCCAAAGAGCAGCACCAGCCAAGGAGACCCCAACTACAACTGGCCCTGTTGCCTAAGACAGTGGCTCAGAACTCCTCCTGACTCTGACCCTAGATCACTGAGTGGGTTTGGGCAAGTCACTTAAGGTCATGGGGCCTCAGTTTCCCCATCTGTTAAATGGCTATTAGAATAAGATGACCTCTGAGGTCCCCGCCTGCTGGAAGACTTTATGATGATCATAAAAATAATAACTTTTATTACTTTACATTTATGGAGCTCGTCACAAAATTTCGAAGTGCTTTTACCTAAATTACCTCGTAAAACCCTTCTTTCAATTCTTGCGAGCAAGAGCTGATCATTTTAATCTCTGATCTTGGCTCTTGGAATTGCCGGACTCTGGGTACACCCGGGGCCCTTTTCTCCCGCAGGCTTTGAGACGCCAGAGAAGTGGGACCCTGTCCGGGTTGTAGCCCCCGCAGTCCGGCGCCCCCAAGTGGGCCAGGCCCCTCCTGAGCCTGGAAGAGGGAAGGCTGAGCTCCAGAGTGGAGCTTCAACCCAGACTTCGCTTCCCTAGCCCCCACCAGGCGCCGCTCAGACACCGCGGGCACCATCAAGTGGCTCTGAGAACCCCAAAGACTAGGCAGCAGGGTACAGCCGCTCTGCCCCGCTAGGACCCTCAAAAGGTCTGGGGAGACGTCTGCACATCCACCTTCTGGAGGGGGATGGTGCGGTGATCACCCTCCTCCTTTCCAACTCTCTCACCCCAAACCCAGCCCTCCTCTGTCAGGCTGCTCCAGGCAGCCACAGGTCATAGGCGGGAGGCAGGGGGAGGATGCAGGGTGTGTCTGGGGTGGGCTGCAGGGATGCCTCAGACCCTCCTTGTGCACCACTCCCCTCCAGAGTCCGATGCTGTACCAGCCATCCGGTTCCAGGCCCACTGAGGGAAGCACTCTCGGTCAGGCAGCTGGGCACGGGCTCCTCTGGTACGTGGCTAAGCAGGGCGACTGCCCTCCAGGGCCGACCCAGTCGGCGCCTTCATCGCGCCGGCGCGCGCTCCATCCCTCTGGCCCAGCGCGCCTCCCCGAAAAGGCCTTGCCCAATGGGAACCAGGAGCCAGGCCTGGGGAACCCAGGGGAGTCGGAAACGGAGCAGGGCAGTGAATCGCGCGCCCCTCCTAGGCCGGTCTGAAGGCACCTCCAGCGGGATGGGGGCGGTGGCGCGCCCCTCCCACCTCACCTCCAGCTCTTCCCAGCCTCCCGGGGCGACCCTACCTTCCCCAGTCGGAAGCCACAAGTCTCAGAGAGGCTGCCGTGCCCAAAAAAGAGCCCCCAAAACTCAGGGATGGGGGAGTCTTGAAACTCCCAGGAGAGGACTCCACCAAGACTGCGTTCCGTGTCCTGGCGGCCACCCCTCCTCCACTCCCTCCCGGCCCCTCATGGGGATGGCCCCTGTAGCCTACCTTGGGCTCCGGCCACGCGAATCCGATGTAGCGCCAGCAGAGTCCAGACCAGCAGCCTCCACATGGTGTCCAGTCCGGGGGGGGTGTCCTCCGGGGTCCTCTCCCCCTCCGCGCTGCTTTATAATCCTAGTGGGGTCCAGTACCCCGCCCGCAGCTTCGTCCCCAACACACTGTCTACGCGGCACTGAGTCCCGGCCTTGGGCTTGCTACGCCCGGAGGAGCGGCTCTGGGGACCCTGATCGTTCCTCCTCCTCTGCTGTCCAAGTCCGATCCCGGCGGCGTGCCCAAAAGGCGAGAGGGAAGCAAAGAAAAAGAGGCAAAGACTGCCTTTCGGGCTGGGGCGCCTCCTCTCCTAGCACCCCAACTTCTACTTCTTCTCCCAGGCAGGGCGGCCTCTACGATCCGGCCGGGTCGAGGGCCGAGCTCCGGAATAAGCGGACAACTTCAGGAAACTTCCTCCCGTGGCCACGTTATTCTGTATTTCTCACAAGGCCAAGCATTTGCTTACTTTATACCCAAAAGACACCCCCGCCCCTCCCCGCCCCCTGGTTGGGTTCTCCCGGCCGACGCAGTCACAGCGGTTCCCGGCGCCCGGCCCTCGGGACCCGTTCCGAGCTGAGCACGGAGGTAGGCGAGGGTGCAGGGCTTCTTTCAGGGGTGCGGGGTTTGGGGGGCGCGGTTAGCATTAGGTCCGAATCTCCCCGGAGCTGAAGTTTTCTTCTTTTCAACTTTGCGGGCGGCATCTGGCGGGGCCGAGTCTCCCCTCTGGGCTCCGCTGCCCTCACGCCAAATCCGGAGAGTCCCGGTTCCCACCCCGTTCCCGGGGGCGCCGGGGCTGGGCGCGCCCTCGTCTGCGTGCCCAGGCGGCTAGCAAACTTAATTATCACAGTATTGTCACTGGCAAGTATTCTAAATCAGAAAAACCTAGTAAGATATTAGGGAAGTTTTAAATTTTCATTCATGTTTCATCTCATGCATCTTCTATATCAAAATCATTTACTTATCCCTTTTAAAAATTCTCTTGAGCTAGGAATCTAGCTCAGTGGTTTCACCACCTCCCTTGCAAGTGCAAGGATCCGAGTTTGATCCCTGGTACTAAATAAATAAATAAATGAAAATTTTCTTGAAATATAACTTATTTCTATCACTTTCACATTTAGAATTTTGAGATGTGCAAGGTGTGGTGATGCACACTTTAAATTCCAGCACACACGTAGTCGAGGCAGGAGGATTGCAATACAACCAGCCTGAACTACATAGTGAGACTCTGTCTCCAAAAAAAAAAAAGTAATAAAAGAATTTTGAAGTGACCATCTAAATAGGCAATTGCATTTCTTTCTTCATTTCTTGTTTGTTTGTTTGTTTTGTTTTGGTACCAGGGATCAAACTCAGATCCTTGCGCTTGCGAAGCAGGCACTGG